ATCCACATGTGGCACGTTTGATGCAACACAAGAGTATGGAGTTGGGTTGGGAAGTTCTCCCCCACCCACCATATTCTCCAGATATGGCACCATTAGGTTACCATCTTTTTCATTCACTGCAACACCATCTTGATGAGAAAACGTATGCAAATGTGGAAGTTATTAAAGAGGACATCATGTTTTTTTTGCTTCAAAGCCAAGTGATTTCTTTAATCAGGGCATTAACAACCTGATTTTAAGATGGAAAAGAATCATTGATAATAATGGAGATTATTTCATTTAATAAATGTTTTGTTTTTTCATACAAGTTGTTTGATTTTTTTAATCTAAAAAAGTGACATTAATTTCTTGACGACCTAATATTATCAAATTTCATGTAAAACAACTGTGATTTAGACTAAGAAAATAAAGTTTAATTATTATCACTTTTATTTCGGTTACTTACAAATCAGGATTATGGTAAGTATATTATTTGTTTTTATATTAATTATTTTTAATTTTTACTTGAATTAATGTTCATCTCAAGGTACAGCCAGGTAACAGAAAGCTCCAAAACCTTTAAAAAACATTTTTGTACACATAATTTGATAAGTACAACTTAATATAATTCAATCTTATTGTCCAGTTTGATCTAACTTTATATAATATGTTGTTAAACAAAGTATTGTGCTTATTTCTTAAGCAATAAAATTTACTTTTTTGCTGTTGAGTAAAATACTTTTATTACTACATGAAATATAATCTTTTTACCTCCATTTTCAATTTCAGAAAATTTGGTTGAATTCATTTCTAGATAATTTTTACTTAAATCAAACTCTAATTTGAGTTTAAAATAATTTATTTGCTGTTTCAGGTTTGGGAAGCATGCTCCGATGCCACAATCTCTTTCCAGCATACTGGAATGTTGCATGATGTAGCATATATTGTGGAGAATGAAGTGATTTTAGGTGGAGTGATGGAACAGCTGGCCAAAATATCGGATAGAGTGACTGTGTTAAACCATGCAAAAGTTACAGAATATGTCCTTCCTAAACAAGGCGGTATTAATGAGTGGGTAGAGATCAAGCTAGAAAATGGACGGAAGCTAAAAACAAAACTTTTGGTGAGATGACCATGTTATGAATGTGTTAGTATTAACCTGATGAAATAGTGTGAACTTACAGTGACTAAACTAAAGATTTAACTCTTTTTGTATGGCCATGCCAAAGTGTACGTATCATGACCACCTTCATTCAAATCACTTTATTATCAATGTGTCAGTAAACTTGGCGTGGAAATATAGTTTATAATTCAAATCTTTATATTAATTGAGATTTAGCATTTTAATTTTAGAAAGAAGTATTAACACATTTGCTATGGGCTTGGTCTAATTGGCTGAATTTGCGACTCCAAATTGACTTTTATAGTTTCCATACTATAAATTCTTATAATTTTTTTTATATATATTCATGAAATTTTGCAAGCTTTCACTAAACACTAAAAGACTTTTTGTAGACAAAAAATCAGAATTTTGACTAAAAATTTCTCATTAAATATATGGAGTTAAACTATTGATTGCTCCAAGTGCAAAGTGATTTTCATTTTAAGATTAAAAATACTTTTCTTTATCTGAAAATTGTCAAATTTTATTTGAATAATCTCTTGAAAACTCCTAATTAAATTTCAAACGTTCTTTTTTTCAGTAGAACTTTATATTTTGTTACTTTCTTTAACTCTAGGTTAACAAGTTTAACAAGGTTGGTGAATTTGACTGATCTCTTAACCACCATAAAAAAATATGAAGTAAATCTGACTTACCCTTTTTCTTTCTATCATGACTTCAAATTGTAACTTGAAACTACATTTGTCTATTCTAAATAGCTTAAACCATATAACACTATACATTTGTTCCTAGTTAAATTTTATTGTTTTATTGTCCTTTGAACCATGTCTAATTAATAATCCCACCATATAAGCTGTAAATCACATGGTGAATATGTAGCTCATGTTAACCTATCAAAAAGGCACGAGCTGCTTGCAAGTGTACCTCATGAAAAAAAAATTGTTTCTTTATTTTACCTAATCTAAACTTATTTTACTAAAAAGCTTCTAATTTTGACATTTTAGTTAGTTTTATATTAATAAATAAAGATTACAGATGAAAACAATAAATATTGTACTTGCATGTTGTTTTTTGCCATTGACTTTTGATAAAACTTAACCCTACTTTTTTATACTAATGGTACTACTGCTCTAAATAGTTTTTACTTAATTAAATAATGCACCTAAAACATATAAAGAGCAGACAATGTCCTATTAGTATCATAATTTTCTGGCTTTCTAACTATTCAATAAGAGCCGTTAAGAATTCAGCTATGCTCATTGATGTGTTTCCAGTGGGAATGAAGTTTGAACTGGAAGTGAAATAGACAATTCTCTGTACAGAAAACAACATAATATAATATGTCATTTGATAGATTAAAACTTTTGGCTTTTTATTGGTTATAGATAATATAGTATAAAATGTCATTGACAGGTTGGCATGGCAAGTGGGTCTGATTTTCTAGTGTATGGCTCTGTAAGCAAATAAGATTGAAGGCTATAAAAATCATGCTTTGCCTGAGTAATAACAGTATTATATTGAGTAATTTATGTTAAGTTCTGTACTTCTTGGAGGGGTGGTAAATAAATTGGAGAAGAAGGAAGACCTAGAGAGCAAATGTCACAATTCTCATACTAGGGTAGGTTGAGGATTTTTCAGATATTTCCTTAAAATTTAGAAATTAACTTATATAATTTTAAAATTTGATTTATTAACTAAATTTTGATGCCAAGTTTATTCATATACATCGATAATAATATAGTTTAATTAAATTTTGAATGTAACTGTAATGCACACTTTGATCTACCCATTGCAAAAGGGTTAATTAGAAACACAACTTATACATAATCACAAGCAAAAATATAAAATGTGCACCTCCTACTTTCTTGACTTACTTGTATATTTGTATAACCCACTAGATAAGCCCATCCCCTCGCATTCTATCTTTTGATTGCAAATTAACTCTATATTGTTTACGTACATGTTTATAATTAATGGGAGGAGCAGGAGCTTTTCTACAAGAAGCTAATTACCAGTTTTTTAATTTTGGCACTTATGTTACTCACTTGACCAAAGTGTGATTATTATATTGATACTCCAAACAACTAATGGAATTTTTTAAACTTATTTATTACTTAGAAATTTAGATGAAATATAGTAGTTTTTAGACATTCTATTTCAAATGAGTGATATATATTTTTGTTTTCTAAAATGTGTATTTGAAAGCTGCATGAATTCTTTTTAGGATACCCTAATAAACAAAAGGAACTAAGATGTAAAAATTATAAACTTCACAGCTTAACTTATCAAAACTTCAGTAAAATAAAATGTCTAAAATTACTCTAGCTTGACCCAATGTAACACAACACTAAAGGAATCAAATAATAGACTCCCACTGTGATTCATATGGTAAAAATTATTTCACTGAGTACAACTACAAAGGACAGAATAAAACAATAAAGTTTATTTTCTATAATTATTATTTTTTAATTAAGTGCTGCAGTTGAGGCAGGATATGTCCACTTGACATGATGAAGTCCAGGTTTAAAAATATTACTTTGAAGTTCAGATATTCAATATTTTGTTTCTTCTCAGCTCCATTTTTGTACAAGTCAAAACACTATTTCCAAATCTGAAATAATATAATATAATGATATAATAGCTCAATAATTTTAGGGTTTACATATATGTTTTTTAAGGAAAAACAGTTTTATAAACATTTACTATAGTGTTTCCTAACAAAAACCTAATTTTATGAAACATGGGGGACATCTTTATCTTCACGTGTATAAAATATTTATGTAAGCCATATTTAGAAGAATTTAGAAACATCAACATCTTTCACATAAAAGTCAGGCAAAAGCTAAACATTATATATGTGTGCATCCCATGAATACGAGGTTGTGGGGGAACTGAGGGTTTTAATAATGTGATAGTTGATTAAAATAGTTTGTCATTACCTTTATTGTAGTCAAAAGTGTACTAAATAGACAATTTAATTTCTTGATAGTATGAGCTTGATTTAGGTTCAAAATTGAAGAAATGTTTTTATCTTCATTTCCATTCTTAATATAAACTATGGGTGTGGGGAATAGAATAAACAAAACAATATAATATAAGCTTTGAACATTTAAAAGTATACATTAAAGGATAACAAGGGACAAAATCTTGAACACCTCAATCAGATCCCCTCTAACTCTTCTTTTTTCAAGAGAAAACAAGTTCAGAGAGTTTAACCTATCCTCGTATGATAACTTTTCCATCTCAGATATCATCCTAAAAACACTCCTCTGAACCTTCTTCAACAATTCAATGTCCTTTCTGAGGTAAGTGGCCCAAGTCTGAACACAATACTCCAAATGTGGCCTAACCAATGACCTATACAATGACATTATAACCTTTTAAGACTTATATTCAATATAGCAGTAGATACAACCTAAATTTCTATTTGCCCTGTTGCTAGCAACAACACATTGATTGAACAGCTTAAAAAGATTTATCAATCAGAGCACCAAGACTTTTTTCTTCCATAAAACTGTTTAGGTTATTCCCATAAAAATTATACTTCATCTTGTGATATCTTACATGCATTACCTTGCATTTATTGTAATTAAAAGCTATCTGCCATTTATTTGTCTAAATCCAAAGCCTTTTGAAATGCAGTAGCATTATTCTCACAGTCATCTACACCCAAATTTTTAATGTCATCAGCAAATGTAAATAATCTATTGACCATTCTTTCATCTAAATCATTGATTTTAATAAAAAATACCCCACACATGACATTAATCTAGTTTGACTGAACTCAATTTATGACAACCCTTTGCTTTCTTCCATCTAGCCAGTTTTCTATCCAATGATCAGACTTGTCCCATGCACCTACAGAGGTAACATTTTACAAGTCGTTTATGTGACAGTTTATACCACTTATCTACATATGCAGTGACTTCTTTAAAAAATGTTAAAAGATTAGTAAAGCAAGATTTTTCCTAGTGAAACCATGCTGACTATTCAACATCATTTTAAGCTTAGTTAAATGACTTTGCAAAGCATCTTTTATCAGAATTTCAAATACTTTTCCTACTACTGATGTAAGACTAATATGCCTAATGTTACTGGAATACATTTTATCACCTCCCTTGAAAAGAGGAGTAACATTAGCCAACTTACAATATTATGGCACCTACTTTCTATTTAAGGACTTTGAAAAAATAATAGCAAGTTACTCACACATTAAATTATTAACCTCTTTCAAAGCCCTTGGGTGAATATTATCTGGACCATGAGCTTTAACCTTTTCTAGCAAGAATCCCTTTATATCCCTTTCTACTCATGTCACTGAGTTACATTCAAAATTTAATTAACCAACTTAACTAACAATGTAAGTCAATGAAATGAACATTATAATGCATGTTATAATTCGAAATTGTATGTTATTTAAGTTTTAATTTCTTTGTTTCAAAAGAAACCTTTAAAAAAATAACTTAAACTTCAGTTATGTTGTCAAATGACCCACAAGCTATGAAAAATCTGAACTTTTGCACTATCTATCTTGAATCAAATAACCCCAGTCTTGTAGATGTATATTTAGACAATAATGTGTTTACTTGCCCTATTGACATGTATGTTTCAAAGTTCTTCATCTGAGTTCTATTGAAACTAGAGATAAATTTTTCCATCCCCTGACATGTGCCATGCCCACCTTCTATACTATTCCTTGAGCTTTACAAGTCACATGTAGTTACTTGACACACATATATACAGTCATTAGAAAGAGCTCATTTTACAATATAATCCAACAATAGTTATTTTGAAATTGGCACTCAGTTGTCATCCTCATATGGATGTAACTGGGGATAGTATTCTTGGCTGATTTGTCCATAACATTTACAGTTGTTATAGTTAGAGAGACAGTTATATTGCATTTATGTGTTACTTTTATATCTTAGTTAATTATGTATTATTTATGTTTTAAAATGTATAATTGAAAGGTTTAAATATTTTTACAAATTATCTCAAAC